ATCTATCCATCTCATTTTCAATTCGATTAACTCTAGGTCGACCTTTGGTACGCTTCATGTGCTCGGGAGGGTACACTACAGGTCCATCATACTGGGGCCAATATGCTTCATGAGCTAAGGGAATGAACAACCCTTCCCAAACTATGACCACGTATAGAGTCTTGTAGTATGGACTAACAAATATCAAAGGGTCCATATTAACGTTTCTCGCAGCTGCATATGCATGAGAGCAAGGCAGGTGTCTCCCTTGAAACTTCCCACAAGTACACTCTCCTGTTTCATTCCTTGCATCCAGTATAACTGTTTGAGCATTACCACCCTTTGAACTATCTGGTCCACTTCCTGTTACTACTGCGAAGCGGGAATCTCTTCCACTAAATAAAGTTACCTTATGCCATTTTGCCCTATCCGACCATGGTTTCATGTCATCCGTAATCTTCTTTGGGATGTAGATTTCAGCATTTGATATGCTGCTTGGTAACGTTCAACGAACCATGTCACCGTATGAAAGAAGGTATGCAAGACTATAGATGATATAGGTATTGCACGAAGACCAACATACAAACCATTGAGGCACTAACCCATGTTCGTTGTTGTTATGCCATACCTATACCCTTCGTCTTGATGTAACATCCACATCTCAAAAGGATGAGTTTCTAGCCAATCTGCACCTTCAGAGTGGACCTCCCTTATGCTCTTCATTTTGTCTACAAACTTTCGAGTCTGAAATGCAATAGCTACAATAAAGGAAAATAAGGTTAGTAATGGAGTATAAGCATTCAACCAATTGAGTTAATCACAACATCTTATATTTTCTTACCAACGTGCCAAACTGCACTTTGTCCATAAGTTCTACCAAAGTGCTTCTCGTAATTGCTTTTGAAATGTCGTATACACCAACGCCACTTCCACCCTAGCTCCTCGGGCAAGTCGTAGAAAGCATGTGCAATTCCATGGTGTCGATCAGAAAGTACGGCAATGTCCTTTCGTTGAGTGACACGAGTGTATAGTTGGGAAAAAAACCATGCCCAACTTAAGTTGTTCTCCGATTCGACTATAACAAAAGTAAGTGGGAAAAGTTGCATACTGCCATCAACACTAGTGGCAACGAGTAGAGTGCCATTGTATTTGCCGGTCAGAAAGGTGCCATCAACTTAGATTATTGGCAGACAATGGGTGAAACCATCAATGCATGGTTTGAATGCCCAAAATAGTCGCTTAAACACGCGTTTAGCACCCCCCATAGAAATCTTCTTAACTAGGCACAAAAACATACCCAGGATTCTTGTCCACATTGCAAGAATCAAATGAGGCATGTTAGCAAATGACTCTTCCCAATCGTCATACACCTCCGCCATAGCTTTTTGCTTCCCATGCCATGCTTTCTTGTAACTGATGGTATAGCCATGTTGATTCTTCACTTCAGCGATGACACTCTTCACGGTGATCCCAGGTTGTGCCTCAATCAGATATTTGATTGTTTGTACAAACTTCCTTGCACTCAATTGTCGGTGATCTAGAGAAATCAGTGACGACCTACAAGTGTGGTTGTTGTCTGTCTTAGGAATGAGCCAAGCCCCATTTCTTTTAACATATGTCGCCCGAACATGCCACATGCATCCGTCACCACAGTTTTCGCAACGAACATGAATTTGTTTAGTGTCGGAAGTGATGACACGATATTGAAAGCTTCTTCTCATAGTAGTTTCTTTCAATGCATCGACCACCTGAGGCTTTCCTCCAAATGTTTGGCCAACCACGAATCCAGAATCAAGAGTCCAGATAGGTAAAGGAGGGTGGTCATGATCGTCGTTGTGAGCATAGAGAGGATGTTGTGGCACCATCGTGTAGTGAGGTGTGGGGGGCTCAAATTCCCCCTCATCAACTTTCGGATCTTCACCATCTGAACTACTCATTGATTCTAAATCTTCATCTTACACGTCGCTTGCCTCGCTAGTGTACGGAGGACTTGGTTTATCCACATACAGATCATTGTTGATGCCAGATGCTGGTGTAGATGCTTGTCTGGGTGCCTGTCTGGGTGCCCTTATGTAATCCCATTCTTCACCCCATACTGGCCACTCCTGTCCATCATGTTCCACCAATGGACCAGGTGCAGTTCGATCCCCATATGTTGGCCATGGTGCATCATGCAGAACTCTGAAATCTCCTAAACTGGAGAACCCTCCCGATCCTTCACCTTGTTCGGTATAACCGCCGCCACCATATTGGCCAACAACTTTTGTCTTGACATACACCTCAGCAGTTGGAAATCTGTTTTCTGCAATAAATCTCACCATCATATTAATGTCGTCAGCATCAGACATAACTGATCTTTCATATACAAGTGCATAATCCTTGTAAACCGGCATACGGTAAGTCATCTTGCATACTCTTCGCCCTCCTATGAAACATCGTTCCGCACAAATATGACTGAGTTCTTGCCAAGTAAATATGCTCTCAATCCGGACAGTACTTGATTCACCATCTTTGTAGTCAACACTATTATGGAAATGGGTAATTCGACCATTCCATCGAATCAATAGGTCGAATTTTCGAAATTTTCTACCCATTTCTGCAGTTTATAGAAACAGCTCATTACATACAGTTCAAACAATACTAAATTAACCCAAAATTCTCATATGCTCATTCAAACAACGTAAGCAGAACTTACCTCTATAAATTTTCTTCTTTGCTCAGCTATGGTGCTCCAGCTGCTACAGTTTGTGTTTGGAAGAAAGAAGATAGAAAGTATAAGAGCAGCAAGAATGTGCTGAGTGCTTGCTATTTATTTTCGTAAACTGATGCAGTGGGTCGAGGCCTAGGTAATCGAACTACCATAGTTCGAGTCCAAAGAACTCGATCATAACAATCAATAAAATATTACCCCTGCACCCTATTCTGAAGCATGTCAGGCCGAAAGCGACTTGGCAGGAAAATTGGGCAGTGGTTCGAGTCTAGGGCAATCGAACTAGTGTAGTTCGAGTTCAAACAACTCGATCATATACAACAAAGAATCTTATCCCTACAACCCTATCATGAAGCATGTCAGGGAAAGGTGCTTTGGCGATAATTGAACAGTAGATCGAGGCCAGGCCAATCGATCCACTCTGTTCGAGTCACATGGCATCGATCTGGTGCAGATACAGATCGAGTTTTTAAAAATCGATATGGTTAGATCGAGTCCTTTGTCATCGATCCTGCTGGATCGAGCCATGAAAAATCGATCTATTCTTGATCGAGTCCTTTGTCATCGATCCAGCTGGATCGAGTCATGAAAAATCGATCTATTCTTGATCGAGTTTTAAAAATTCGATTTGACCGTGGATCGAGTTCTTAATTGTCGTTCTATGATGTAGTTCAAGTTTGTTTAAATCGAACCGTGTCAAACTTTGGTAGTTTGAGAAATTTTTATAAAAGTTATGTATTCTGATAATTACTTTTAGTTGTTACGGTATTTAGGGAAATAATCCACATTATCACTATCGGCCACAAAAAAAGTATCATTAAGTTGGATGAGACACAGAAGTCTCCATACAAAATGTCGCAATTTTGAGAAAGCAAACTCTGAAGTGTACATGAAATTGTTTGGACTGATCGCCCTGCTAAAGGCCTAGCGAAGCCCATATCCACTACCTTCTCGGCCCCTTCCTTACAGCATTAAAGCCCATCACTATTGACATTCAAAAAGCCCATAATTAAATGTCAACCGAAAAGAGAGAAAGATAGCATTCATTCAGGCGCTCCTGGCTTCCGCTTCCAGGAAGGCGTTGAATTCCTCCCTCGCCTTCCTCAACCGCGGCGTGATGCACGCAGCCGGAGACGAAGGATTCGAACCCGAAGACGACGAAGAGAACCTCACGTGCCTGAACGACGACTCGTGAGACTTCCTGTGCGCCGCTGCTGCCGCCGCGGCCCTCGCCGTCGAGCAGCTCCTCAACACCCCTCTACGCTCCTTCTCAAACACAAACGCCGACGCCACCGGCGAATTAGTCTCGCTCCCGCCGGTCTTGATCAGCTCCATCGGCAAATCGTAGTAAAACCGCGTCGAATCTCCTGCGTCATTGTCATTGACAACCGCCGACGAAGCCCACGAACCGCACTCGAATTTCTCCAGCGACACCGTCCTGGAAATGATGCTCTCCCTCATCGTCGTCGCTCCCGATTCCACCACCATCGCCTTCCTCTCCCTCACCGGCCTCGCCTTCCCACCGCCGCCGCCGAATCCCGGGAGGTACAGGCAGAGCGCGCCACATTTGAATTCGTCTTCGTCGAGATCCACCTCGTGTTTCTTCTTCCTGGCCATCGGCGAGATCGTCCTCGGGGAAGAATTGGTGTCGGAATCGGTGGTCGATTCGTCCGGATTCTTGAACCACATGTCGAGCTCGTCGGCGGCGCTCGATCTCCCTTCGGCGCACGACTTGCTCCGCCGCATGTGAATCTCCTGTTCCAGCGTGAGGCGGGGATGGTGGAGGTGCTGCTGCTGATGAGGGTAAACAGTGGAGCCTTTCCGGCGAGCCATGCCGTCGATTTGGCGGGGGGAGGCCTGGCTCTCGTTCTTGAATTTCTTCTTCAGCCAGTACCCGAACCGCGGAGAGCTGGGAAGGCTGCAGCTAATGAGCGGAGGCTTAGCCTGCGGCGACGGCGGCGGAATTTTGGGAGCCGTCACGATCGGCGGCAGCCTGAGCGACACTGGGTCGACGGAAATCTGCTTCTCCATTTGCTGCGGAGGACTCCAGGAAGGACCCAAGTATTCCCCAGTGGCCGCGGCGGCAAACTGTAGGTCGTGGAAACGCTCCGCCGTTGCGCAGACATCGAACTCGAGATCGTACTCGTACATCCCACTCCTGTTGTGGAACATTTTCCTGGGAGCCGAAAGCTGCCCCAAATCAGAAGCAACGAGAGCCATGGCGTTGAAGATTTACCAGGATTTGAGTTGCTTCGATGGAGATGTTGGATGGGGCTAAGGGACTGGATTTATACAGTGAGTGCACAATGGAACTTTACAAGACGTGGGCGCCATGTCTGCCTGAGCTGAGCAGCAAGTTGTGATTTACATGTTTACAGATTGTTAGAGGCACACCACCCACGAGCAGGGTAATGAATAAAGTATATGGTGGGGAAGACAGAGAGATGAGGGTTGCATATAAGCCATTGACTTTTCCATGAATAGTATTAATATACAGAAATGTAGAAGGTAGATACAAAATGTAGTTATGAGGAAGATTAAGAGAATCTATTGCTTACTGCAGAGAATTATAAAATAGGATCAGTACCACTGAAACACCGATGATGACAGGGAATGCTGTGACCAAATATAGAGCTCCATAGCCCTGTAACACAAGAAAAGTTCGTTTCTTTGTTTATTACTACATCCACAAGAAGACTGGCAACGGTGTAATCGAAAGCTGAATTTCTGAAGAAGAGAAGGAACAAGGGAATGTTAGGGAGAGAGACGAACCACAGCTGAAGGTACTTCTGAGTCATCACTGTTTTCAGAATCTTCAATCTCGGCGGCTGAATCCCAGTCAGTTTTCAGTCTCTTCGCAGCCTCTTTAAGATCTATACCTGTGTCGGTGACCCTCGCGTACAATGATTTGGTTGGCTTGCTCTTCTTTGATACCTCCACCTTTTCACAGATTGGATGATATGAGGAAAACGAAATTGCCAAAGGAAGAGACTTGTGCAGCTATCAGGCTAACCAGAAGTATGACAGCAAATACTGGCAGACTCATGCAATAAGAGAATGTGGCGATGCCTTTTCTTTCCGTTCAATATATAAGTAATGCCCCAGGTTTGAATCTTTGATCGTCAACCATATCTTTTTAGTTCTGAGGCTTTTACATTAAGCTAAGGATTGTGTGACGGCATTTCTGATAGGCTAATCTGTGTTAGCCAAAGCAAGTTAATTACCTCTAAGTTAGGCCAGTTCGTCATTTCATCTGCTAGCATTCGGAGTGCCAAGCGGTTTCTGGGAACCTTGCCCTCATTGACCTGAAACGAAAACGACATTATAAGCAGCCCAGGCGAGAGTAAGATGCATGGATGGTTCGACATTTAGCAGCAGCAGCAGCAGATAGATTATGATTGGCATAGCTGTAGATGGACCACTAGAATGTTAAAGAAGAACAAGAATTTCCTAGCAATAGACGAGGAGATTATATGAATGCAAAACCTAAACTGAAACTGGGCTGCACAGCTTGGCTTTTCCCTAATCCATTTCACCAGATGACCAAGACTAGAACGCTTTCTTTTTCTAGCACATAGTGAGGAGACTTTCTACTTTACATGCAAGTTGTTAACATTAGCCAACTGAGTGTTCATGGAACACTTGATTCTAACGCCCTCAAATTCATAGTAAAACATTAGTGCAGACACCAAAAGGTATAACCCAAATCTCAGCAGCCAGAACCAGTGAATGCAAAAACTCTGCTATTGCTTAGTCGCCTTTAAGTTCAGCCTCCACAATAGAGTAAGTAGAAGTATTGCAAGTGAACTCTCACCATTTCTAGAGCTTCAGCAAGTTCTTCCCTGGTAGGGGCGTCAGGATCATCAATGCCGAACATCTTCCTTCTCTCCACTTCTCGTGGATCCTCGATCATTATCGTCAGCTTAACCTAAACGCAAAAAAATTGGATGAATATCTCCTCATCTGGAGATGAAAAACTAGCCTCGTTTCAATCAACTATGAATCAATGATTTACCTCATTGAAAATCATATCTCGGTTCTTCTTCAGCAGCTCCAATACCTGACTAAAACCAAATCAAATCAACCAAACGTCAAACACCATACCATGTTAAATGGAAGAGGACCGCAATTGGTGCATCAACCAAACAGCAGGAACCACAGTTTGAAACCGACCCTTTTAATTTCTTGAATGTATTCGACGTCCTGAGGGGATGGCGGCACATCTTCTTCTTCTTCATCATCGTCGTCGTCTTCATAGTCTTCGTCACCATCACCTTCTTCTGCTTCTGGAACTCGCAATTCAATATCTTCTCGGCCGACTAACAACGGCCCAGCGTTTCTCCACCTCCGGCCACTGCCATTCGCTACCAAACCTTTCGCCCATCCGGCGTGCCCAGATGGAGCCCGACGAAAGAAGGCTGAATGGGTTGCCGGAAAAGATGGAGGTAACGGGGAAGGAGGAGGGAATTTGGAGAGCTGGAGGGACACTGTGGTAGTCATGCCGGAGAACCTCTTATCCACTTATTCTGTAAAAGGCTGAGATGAGATTTCAACGATTCGAGGGCTTCAAGTCTTAAACACTATCAACCAAGCTTTTATTACCTTCCGCTAGTTAGCAATTCGTTTTCGCAGCTTGAGAAGATTGATTTCCAGTTCCAGAAACCAATCTGTTTGAGATGTGCCCGCCCCCTGCTTCTGCTTCAAGTCCCAGCTAGGATTTATAGTGGCTACTGCGGCAAGCCAGCAAAAGAAGGGATGGATGACCTTGGGTTGGTTTGGGTTGGGTTGAGTTTACTGAATTCAAATTTAATTCATTGGATACATGACTTATAGGTGTCAAAACATAACCTGACTCGAGTAATTCGCCCGATCAACTCGATTGCTATCCGAATTGACTAAAAGTTAACCATCTGCAACCCGACCGACAGACAACCCGACTACCCGCAACCCGATTAACCCAAACCCAATTGACCTGCAACCCAATAAAACCTATAACCCGATCAACCCTCAACCCGATTGACCCAAACCCGACTAACTCGCAACCCGCCTGTTGAACTGAATAACTACTCTATTTTAAAATAAAGTTCATATTATATACCAAAGTGAAGCCATTTTTCATTTCCAAAGGGAAGTTCAAAATCTGAAATTCTCTTGAAATTATGTTTCTTTAATTACATAAATAAAAACATGATGTTCACTTGAAAATTAATTTCTTTAACAAAATTAAATAAGATTCATAAAATCAGCACAATGCTAATTTTGATAATGAATAAAAGACAAGTTTGTACAAAATAAAAATTAAATAAAATTATCAATAATTCATCTTTTAGAGGGATATAATTGGGTAACATTTGGTGTTTCTATAAATATTAAATACATAATTTGAAAAGCTTTAAATATGATGGAAATACGTATGTACTTAGAAATAACATTATTTTTATTTTTATTTTTAACAGGTTTGTACAAAATAAAAACAATGAACATGATCATGGAAATAAAAAAAAGAAATGACAAAGAAAAGCTGCTCTTATACAATATTTGCTTGGGATTTTTCCAGAAATAGCATCTTAAAAAAAATTACAAAAATAGCACCCATTCCGTAGAAATTACAAAAATAGCACCTTTTTTTTAAAACCGCACCCCCTGGTGCGTTTTGCATGTAAATCGCACCCCCTGGTGCATTTTGTCTTTAAACCGCACCTTGGGGGTGCGTTTTATCTTTTTGGGCCAAAACCGCATCTTGGCCATGCGGTTTGCGGTCTGACCAAACCAAACCGCATGGCCCAGATGCGGTCTAGGCCTGACCTAGCAAAACCGCACTTTGGGGATGCGGTTTTGCTTCTCCAAAACAAACCGCACCCTCAATGTGTGGTTTTGGCAACACAAACCGCACCCCCCCCCCTCCCCCAATGCGGTTTGTGTGTCACTTATTTTCCGACACCAGACATGCAGGCATGCAGATTGACAGACGTGGGGCTCAATGGCAGATGAAAACCGCACCTCTAAGGTGTGGTTTTTCATTGATGATTGTAAGAACCCCGCTTCTAGGGATTCTCGATACTGATCTTCGGCACCCGTGAGATTGGGATTTAGGGTTGAGATTAGGGATTTAGATGAGAAAGAACATAATAGAATTGGGAATCGGCCGAGGCCTTGGATTAGGAGAGAATAGAAATTAGGAGTTGAGAGATATTAGGGTTTAGGAGACTTTGCTTAATATTTTGGTTGATTGATTATGACGTAAACCCCAGGTACATATTTATAGGGAAATACTGGAAACCCTAATAATAATCCTAATACGACTAAATCTCTACTAACCATAATTATAATTATCCTAACTAATATAATAATAGAAACTCGAAATAAATGTGTTTCTGACAATCTATCCCCCTTGAAAACAATCTTGACCTCAAGGTTGTAGTTGACTTTCATCTCCTTGACCTTCCGCTTTCTTCGTTTCCAATTGCGCTCAGTTCCACAACCGAATCTTTTTCCAACAACTTTTACTTCCCGCGACTCTCCTTCACCCACGCGACATATATCACGTTCTTCATAGCCGAACAATTTTTCCTTCTAGAACTCAACAAAATATGAACCGTGGAATCATCCTTCTTTATGATCTAGCTTGTGGTCTTCAAGGAATTGATCCATAAATTTGATTATGGGCTTGGTGGCTAAACAACCCATAACTCTTCCCACCCTACTATTAATTCTCCTTGGATTCGGCCCACAAGTTCTTGGAAGGAAGAGGTGTGGCCCAAACCCAATTCAAGCTTCTCCTGACTCCCCTTTTCTCCATACTCGGCTAGGCCTTGTCTCTTTAAAAGCTCACCTTTCACCCAACTAAAATCTTCTTTGTCCTCCAAGCCTTCGTTCTTTAAAAGAAGACCCAAACGTGACCCAATCACTCCTTGAAACCTGTTGGGCTCGTTCGGCCCACCACTAGTCTTGTGGACTGTACCATAATTCTCAAGACGCGGCCCGTTAGGTTGAACTGACTGGTCCGAAGGAAGACAAGTGAATGCCAGCCCTCGGTCCGGGCCTGTCCGGCCCACTCCCTCCATCCCATCTGCTACAGCCCGAACTTCTCGGCCCAACAGAGGCAACAGCGGCTGCTGCGGTGGTCCTCGGCCCAAGGCTACAGCCCTAGGGCTTGCGAGAGAAGAAAGGCGGTCGTCACCCCCCTCCTTCCTCGGTTCTTATTCTTTCCTCGTCGGCGACCCGGCCCTTCGGCGGCATGGCTGCCAGCCACAATCCGCCGTCGCCTCCCACCCTTCCTTCTTCTTCGTTTCCTTCCCCGTCATCTTCTTCATCTCCTCCGGTGGAACTCGGCTACCAGGAAGCCAGCCCACTTCCAATCTCGTCTCCGGCCTTCCTGCTTCGTCGATCGGTGACGCGTCTGGAGCTGCTGTTACGCGCATCTCCAGAGCCGCCGCCGTCTGTATCACTAGCAGCGCCGCATGGAGCCTCCGCTCAGTCCTCCCCTCTGATGTCGTCGGTCGCGCGCCCTTCTTCTTCTCCTTCTTCTTCTCTAATTCCGTCCCCGACAGTGATTCACCCAGCTGACGGCACGAATATCCGCGCGCTTCCGGCCGAGTCTCCGACTCTGATTCCCCGTCGGCTCTTTCCTCGGCGCTCCCCTTCCCGAAGGTGCCCGCTTCGCCTCCTTCACCCGCGACGAGGTCGTCAGGCGGCTGTGAGGGCAAACCGATGCAACGCCTCTCATCTCCGACCTCGGTACGTCGCCGATCGTTGATTACGAAGGAAGAGATAAGTCACTGGCAGGATCAAACAAGGCAATCGTTTGTGGCTCCTGGTTTCTTCCCGGAATCGGTGGTGACACGAAGGCTACCTGGATTCCGTCGTTGGATCGTGACTTCTTCTTCTGAAATCGCCAATTCACCAAGCGATTTGGTGTTGACCTTTGCACTGCACCTCCTGCTTGGGAGTCTTCTACAGCAGCGGATGCCCTCTCATTATCGAGAACAATGATAGAAGCAACAAGGTCACCTTCTTCTTCCGCCCCAATATCGACTGCAGCCTCGGCAACCTTGTTCTCCTTGTCAAGTGTAGCGGCTAGAGAAGCAAGTTTCCCTTCTTCTTCAACCACCGCCGGGACTGTCGTCTTTGCAACTTTGCGCCGCTCCTCGGTCTTCACGGCGATGACTGTTGGCGGTGATGGCGAGACTCGACTCATGACTGCTTCTACCTTCAGTCCGATGTTGTTGGGTGCCTCTTTGGTGGACGGCGGCTTTGCCGCCAGAGGCTCCTCGATCTCCATTCTCTTCTCGAGCTCGACGGGAAACGCAGGTTGTTCCAACCACTCTTCGAAATTGATTTCTGCTATCATCGGTTCGATTGTGACTGGGCTCCTCTCCATCTTCGGTCGGAGAGTTTATCCGGCAGATTCCAACTTCATCTTAAGAATTCTAGTGAGTCCTTCGATCGAAAGATCGAAGTTGGTCGAAACCATGGTACGAGCGCCACAACCGGGCTCTGGTACCACCGTAAGAACCCCGCTTCTAGGGATTCTCGATACTGATCTTCGGCACCCGTGAGATTGGGATTTAGGGTTGATATTAGGGATTTAGATGAGAAAGAACATAATAGAATTGGGAATCGGCCGAGGCCTTGGATTAGGAGAGAATAGATATTAGGGTTTAGGAGACTTTGCTTAATATTCTGGTTGATTGATTATGACGTAAACCCCAGGTACATATTTATAGGAAAACACTAGAAACCCTAATAATAATCCTAATACGACTAAATCTCTACTAACCATAATTATAATTATCCTAGCTAATATAATAATAGAAACTCAAAATAAATGTGTTTCTGACAATGATTTTGCCAATAAAAGGCAGCCCGGGAAATCTTATTCTCTTCACACATCTCCTTCTCCCTTTTCAATTTCCTACTGTTTTATTGCAGATGGCATTCTAAAAGTTCACGCTTGGGTTACGGTGGAATGGTTAAACGGAAGAGAGCGGAAAGGGGGTTACCTACGTCGGTGGCAATTTCAGAAAATAAAGGTCGCTACCAGACCGTGCTTGAAGACCTCTATCAAATGTGTACTAACGTTACTTGCATAGATGGCACGAGAAGTGTTGATCGTATGGTGTACCGATATCCAAACAGAGAAGGCGGGTCGTTGTGGCACGAGGAATATCTCATAACCACTCAAGATGAGGTAGATGCCATGCTCGAATTCTTGAGGTCCAACAATCTTTCCAAAGCCGAGATGTTCGTTTACACCGAGCCGGTCGTAGGCGTTGGAGGTCATTTTGGAGACGGTCAAACATCTAATATCTATGGTGCAGGTGAATTATATGGAGATCATCCCTACCAAAGTTACCATGATTCTCAAACCTATTTTCAGTACCAAGAGCAAGGTGAAGGTCATCATCAATCTTACCCGTCATATGAAGGTCATCCCTACTAAATTAATTAAAATTAATGATTTAATTTCGAATATAATTCTATTATAATTATATTATTAACAATCAAATTTAAGTAACTTGCAATTTTTTCCAAGATATATACATATTATCATAAAACAAACATACTAAATTAATTGACATAAATAACATTCTAAATCAATAATAATTTAAAGAGATACATACATATTCAAACATTATAAATTAATAAAATTCATTTAAGTACACATAAACATAAATCGTATTGGTTGTTTGGTAAGTAATTTAATCGTATTGGTTGTTTTAAATAATTTAATCGAATACAATGCAACACTCGTTAGACTCTTAGAAGAGATATACATCTTCTTAGAAACGCATCCTTTTTGACAGAAAAAGGGGAGATCCGAGGATCTCTTAATACCCGATTTTCCCAGAAAATGGGAGGATCATGATAATCACTTAAAATCCCATTTCCTTAGACATGCATCTCTTTATAAAGAGTCGAAAGAAGTGACGCTATGTATTCGATTAAATTATTGAAAAAAACCAATACGATTAAATTATTGAAAAATTTATTTTATATTCCACTAAGTACATTAGCAAAATAAAAGAAAGATAAATGATGAAGAATTGTATGTACCGGGTGATCGTTCCAAACATCCATTGAATGATGGTTGGGTTGTCATACAAGTCGGTTGGATCAATAGGCCCTTGATCCAAATAGTACCGTTGGTTGTATATATTCACGTCGTCCCCAACCTATGAGAGAAAAACAACAAGGTTAGTACATAGATTAATTAAAAAGCTTATAACAAAAACAAAAATTGACCAAAATAATGAGTACGTACCGCTTGAAATTCATCATAATAAACTCCCTCTCCTTGGAACCACTCGTCCATTTTTTCGCGAAAGTCGGACAGAAATTCGGCGGGTTTTGAGGGAAAAACCAAAGAAATGTTTTCTGATGGCAGATCGGACTTAGCCACAACCAACAGACCACCATTTCCTAGGCTTTTGGGAGGGGAGGGGAGGGGTTAGAGAGATAATTTTATATATATATATATATATATATAGAGAGAGAGAGAGAGAGAGAGAGTGGAGAATGGTTGTGGTATGAAGAAATGAGAGGGGGAGGGGGTATTTATACCCTTCAGATCGCACCCTCCAGGGGCGGTCTGGTAATTTCTCCCCCGGTCAAACCACTCCCTTTTGATGCGGTCTACAGTTCCCAAGGGCTGACCGCTCCCTGCCGTTGCGGTCTTCAATCCGTGGCAAGGATCACTGAGGTGGCAAGCGGTCCACCGCTGGAGCGCTGCCTCATCCTGCGGTCTCCAAGCCCGCTCCAGAGAAAACACAGACCGCACATTCCTAGTGCGGTTTACAGTCCGACGTGGCGCAAAACGCACCTCCAAGGTGCGGTTTATACATAAAACGCACCTGGAGGGTGCGGTTTAGTTATAAAGCGCACCTTGGAGGTGCGGTTTGATAAAAATGGTGCTATTTTTGTAAATGTTGTGGGTTGGATGCTATTTTTGTAAATTTTTTTAATAGGTGCTATCATTGGAAAAATCCCTACTTGCTTCTAAGTTACAATTAGACACATCCTACTCAAAGTCATCATCAAGGTCTGCATCCACCCATCCATGTTTCCTACAGTCAGTGAAGCAGGCGAGTTGCTTTGCCACTGGGGGGCTGATGTGACTAGATTAACGAAGAGCTGTTGTGAAAGGCTTCTTCCTGGATTTCAAAACTCGTTGCCTGGAAAACAATGGCATACACGGAATAGAGCAACAACCAAAGGTACTCAATGAAAACACAACATCAACCACAGATGGACAAATTACTACTTCATTCCAGGCTTATAATCCATTGAAAGAAAAGATAAAGTTATATCATAGGAAATTCCTACAATACCTTGAAGTTATTGTAACTTGATGTTTTTGACCTGCTATAACAGGTTTCACAAGTCGCATTACGTAAAATACAATAGGCATTACGTAATGGTTACGTAATGGGTGTTTATCTTATGTAATAGTTGAAAAATGTCATTACGAAAACCTTACGTAATAGGCACTCATTTTACGTAATGAATATTAACCTTTCGTTACGTAATCTGTTAAATCATTACGGAAGACTTACGTAACGCTTCTAATTTAACTGTTACGTAAGAAATAACTATCGTTACGTAACCTTTACGTAATAGATGCATACTTTACGTAACAGTTGTATAGTGGCATTACGGAAGCCTTACGTAATGGATGGTTCTTTTACGTAACAGTTGTAAAGCGACAACAAACAGTATAGCTCATCATCATCCAAATTTTAGCTACCTAAAATTCCCATGCCATTGCTACCTTGTAGCAAACAACCACCAGCGACCAAAAATAAATACATAATTTCCCTTGTAGCTAATTAAGAGTAACAGGCGACAAACAATCCGCTATGTGCTTCAAGTATCATCAACAGTGGTCTTTAATCAAACGAAGAATATCTACCCAACCTCCCACAGCTTCCCAATCTCAAATCTGTAAGACCCGTGGCAGTAAAAGGAAGAAGCAAAAGGGTACGAGTAGTTTAAATCTCCAACGAGAAATCGGAATCCAAATCGAAGGTGGGAGTTGGAGATGATGGATGGAGCAGGGGGAGATGGAAACCGGTGGTCGGCTGCACCACGAGGCGGAAAGCGGAGATGGGGAGGAGAGGACTCTTCCCCAGAGCCCAACACTGGCCTCCTTTATCTGGGCCATCTTTCTTCTCGGCTGCTAGTGCGCATCTACAATCCCTAGGGGTGGCTTTAGTCGCCGGCGAAGACAGAGGCTGGGCCACCTTCCTTGTATTCGGGCGCCGACGCTTCAGGGGAGATCTGGCCAATGCAAAAAGGGCTGTTGCTTCAGGGGATTTAGACCCCTCTGTTCTTCCACTTGCATGCCTTGCTCCAGAACCCTAGAGGGAGAGATTGGGAAGAGACTAGATAGACGATAGTGAAAGAGTGGGAGTGGGGGAATAAAAGGAAGGGATGGGGGAAATATTGGGGAGAGCGGGTCTTCAAAAAACTTGTAAGACTAACTTCAACCCAAAAGCTAAATTTAGCTTCCCAAATTCTCAAACATCCATCTTTGCCTCTCATAACACAATATTTGCTCCAACCCTATACCTTCTAAATTTACCTTTTCAAGTCAAAACCAACCAATCAAAAATTAAGAAAGGAAATGAAAAACAAAAAGAATAAAGCAGCTGGAAAGTGGAGGGTCCCGCGAAAGACCTTTTTGCCTTCCCAAATCCAAACCATCCAATCAAAACCACCACTTGCAGGATGCATTTTTACCTTCCTTTCTATTTCTCCAGCTATATATCCACCCTAACTCCCATTCTCCAAATTTGCATCCCCACTTTTTGTTGGGTTGGAGATCAAAAAAAGGGAAAACCCCACTTCTCCAAATTTGGCATCCAGGGTTGGAGACAGTCTAAGCCCGGTAAAATGATTGAGCGCCACTAAAAGGGAGGGAATCTTTTTGGCCAGGGACTGAATATTTTGGGTGAGGAGGGAATTTCTGGCGGATGAACTGAAAATTTTTATAGCAAAAAACTCACCAAAAATAATAAAAAATTATTATTTGTATTTTAAATGAATAGATATAGATACTATTACATTTGTCTATTTAAAATAATCAACTCGATGCAAAACTATGGCATAGACAAATAAGATTTTTTCACGATAGTTTTAGAAAATTTTATGAAACAGAGACAAATTCATTGACATGTCGAGAAAAATAATATTTCTTTCTAACTTTCTAAAAGGCTTACAAATGTTATGAAAGTGGGACATATACAATGATATATTGAGATAAATACTATTTCTATCTAAAAGTCTTCAAAACTGTTATGAAATTTAGTGAAATATAATTATATATAGAGACAAACAATATTCTTGTAGTGACTAGTGATAATAGACTTGGGAACGGGTTAATTGCATGGTTGGTCACTGAGATTACAAAAAACCTTCAAGTTTGGTCACTCGAAATATTTAAATCCATTGGTGGTACTTCAGTTTACTGAAACCGTTCATGTTTGGTCACTCTCCGTCCAACTCTGTTAACTTTGGCTGATGTGGCAGTCAACTCTTAAAGTTGACTGTTAACTTAGTGACGTGAAAATTAAGAAATAATAAATAAAATAAAATTTAATGTATTTTAATTTCCAACTCATTTTTACCATAAAATAAATATTATAATTATCAAATTGAAAGGATTTAAAGGTCGATTTTGTTTCCTTCCTTCTCTCCTTCGTCGTTTTGTTGACGGCTGCCCAAGTTCGGTCAAGTTAGGAGCAGAGGAATCGATTTTGAGGAAAGGGATGCCGGTAGATGCGGCTTCTATCGTAGTTCCCTTTCCGATTTCTTTGTTGTCCCTCTGACGATTTGTCTAACATCTAATCGAGAGAAGAGAAGTCCCATTCACAGACAACTCGCATTCAGGGCCTTCAACCAGATTGGTGGCAAGGCACGCTCAGTCCACGGCGATTGCACCAACCCTAGCACCGACTGAAAAGCATAGAGGAGTGGTTTTCGGCGGTCAGGAGTGGAATTGAACCACAGTGGTGGTCCTAGGCCTCTGAATCAGGTTTCGAAGCATGTCCATTCCTAGCTCGCTCCCTCTTATCATCACTCCACTCCATTTCTTCTTGCGGATATGAACATCAGCTGCTTGCTTTCTCCATTCCTAGACCAGTCAAAGATGATTGCATAATTATAATATTTTTTATTTTATGGTAAAAATGAGTTGGACATTAAAATAGATTTAATTTAATTTATTATTTCTTAATTGTCACGTCACTAAGTTAACAGTCAACTTTGAAAGTTGACTTCCACATCAGCCAAAGTTAACGGAGTTGGACGGAGAGTGACCAAACGTGAACGGTTTCAGTAAACTGAAGTATCACCAACGTATTTAAATATTTCGAGTGACCAAACATGAATGGTTTAGGAGCAGAGGAATCGATTTTGAGGAAAGGGATGCCGGTAGATGCGGCTTCTATCGTAGTTCCCTTTCCGATTTCTCTGTTGTCCCTCTGACGATTTGTCTAACATCTAATCGAGAGAAGAGAAGTCCCATTCACAGACAACTCGCATTCAGGGCCTTCAACCAGATTGGTGGCAAGGCACGCTCAGTCCACGGCGATTGCACCAACCCTAGCACCGACTGAAAAGCATAGAGGAGTGGTTTTCGGCGGTCAGGAGTGGAATTGAACCACAGTGGTGGTCCTAGGCCTCTGAATCAGGTTTCGAAGCATCTCCATTCCTAGCTCGCTCCCTCTTATCATCACTCCACTCCATTTCTTCTTGCGGATATGAACATCAGCTGCTTGCTTTCTCCATTCCTAGACCAGTCAAAGATGATTGCATAATTATAATATTTTTTATTTTATTTTTTATTTTATGGTAAAAATGAGTTAGACATTAAAATAGATTTAATTTATTATTTCTTAATTGTCACGTCACTAAGTTAACAGTCAACTTTGAAAGTTGACTTCCACATCAGCCAAAGTTAACGGAGTTGGACGGAGAGTGACCAAACGTGAACGGTTTCAGTAAACTGAAGTATCACCAATGTATTTAAATATTTCGAGTGACCAAACATGAATAGTTTTTGTAATCTCAGTGACCAACCATGCAATTAACCCACATGGGAACATATAATGAGTCATCTTATCTTAATAACGTCACTCAAACTATCTCAAATGCAAGTTATTTTACATTATAAAACGAGTGAATATTCACTCATAGACCATCTACAATGCAAGGGTTAAAGTGCCAAATTTTGGCACTTTTGGGCAGGGTTCAAGAAGGCGCGCCTAGGCGCACGTCTAGGCTCAATTAGGCGCTAGGCGGTGGAGGATCGCCTTGACTTGGCCATAGGCGTTATAAAAGGCGCTGGTAGCACTTAGTTTGCGCCTAGTGGAGAGAAGGCGTGCCTGGGCGAGCTTAGGCGGTTAATCCCAATACTCTTCGTTTTGTCCTAGAAAATCAAAAACTTGCCTCTTGCCCTAGAAAATCAGAAACACGAGAAGTAACATCTGTTGCCGCCTGCCGCCCTAGCTCTCGCCCCATTTGCTGCTCTCTGCCGCCACGGAGAAAGTCATCGATCACTCTTCTCGCCTTCACACCGCTCCGCTGCTATAGAGAGAAATAAATTCGAAACTCGTCAATTGCTACTCCTTCCTTCTCCTCAGTACGTAGCACAAGCTTCTTGCCTTTATAAGCACCTATTAGTAGATGATTGGTCACTATTTGCTTGTTATTTGTTATGTTAAGTGTTTACTGTTAAGAACTAGGCATTGCTAATTTTATATGCACTTGGATTATATGAATTATTCTAGAAAATAGGAAATATTTGAGAATTTTTCCATTTATGCTCTAAACGCCTAGGCGCGCCTAGGCTACGCCTAATCGGACAAGGCGCAAGTCAAGAGCCGAGCGCCTGCCTTACGCCTAGCGCCTTTTAGAACCTTGCTTTTGGGTTGCAATGGCAAGTGCTAAAAAGTGATAGTGTGAAATTTTAATAATATAGGGGCCAAATTTGGCTCACAAAAAGACAAGAAGTGCTAAAAGGTAAAAAGCAATCTCAAGGAAGAAGAATGGGGTTGCACTAAAAAAAGGGGAAGAGAGGTTTTTTCACCCCACGCGCGTGTCCACCCTCCTACTTTTTTTATTTTATTTTGTCGGCCAAATTGCATATAAGCCCCCATGAAATTTCTCCACCAGTCCCTAATTTTGCTTCCAACAACTATTTTCTCCTACAACAGCTATTTTTTGTTCCAACAACTAACTTTTTTCATAATTTTTAAATCTATAGTCATTGGCACGAGCCATTGTATTTTCGTCATTGATGATGTCATATTTATCATCAAAAAAATATAACAAAATGAAAAAATTATATCAAAACGTTCGTTTTAATTAATTATGACTAACTATATAAAAACAATTGCAGAATTATATATATAAAGCAATGAAATGTACAATAAACTAACTAATAAAAAAATCACAAATATAGCACTTTGCCATTTGGCTCTACTCCATTGGAGCAAAAGCACTTTATTGAGTGCCAAATTTGACACTTTGGCCCTAACTTTTAGCACTCCATTGTAGATGGTCTTAACTCTTAAGGTGTGCTCGAGTTACATTTTAGTTTCGAAATAGCTCCTTTTTGTTTAAGGTATAGAGTATATGGTTAGGGTATAGAGTATAAGGTACAGATGGCTTATGGTTATGGTTTAGAGTTATGATGATTAGAACGTATATTCTTCCCAATAACCGAATATAAAATTGACTTAACTTACATTCTTCACATAGCATACATTATACTTTATACCAACAATTTCATAACACATAACTATAGTTCATGGTTTAAGGTTAGTGAATAGAGTATAGGGTCATGGTATAGAGTTAGGATGATTAGGACGTATGTTCTTCTCAAAACCGAATATAAAATTGACTTAACTTACATTTTTCACATTACATACATTATAGTTTATACGAACAATTTCACAACATATAACTATAGTTCATGGTTTAAGGTTAGTGAATAGGGTATAGGGTCATGGTTTAGAGTCAGTGTTTGGGTTATGGTTAAGGGTTGAGCTTAGTTTTAGGGTTAATGACTTAATGTTGTCTTTTAGGATAATGTATGGTTGATGGTTAAGGTTAGTTTTAGGTTTTAGGGTTAATAAGTAAGATTGTGTTATAGGGTTTAAGGTATAGGGTTTCTTCATGGTTATCCTTTACAATAGATATTTTGCTTTTTATATTTCATTATTTAATTTTACTTTAAAAATTAATTTACCTATTAGATAAACATACGCATTTAAAATATTTTGAAAACTTGTGAATGTACATCGTAAATATATCATATTCAAATGACATTCCGACCAACGCATCGAACAACAAACTAG